AAATTAGGGGGAAGGAGCAGAGGAGGGGAGGTGTGGGAAGGCTTTAGGTGGAGGCATCACTGTGCTCTCCTTAAATTCTAGTGGGACTGGACACCAAGTGAGGGGTGAAGTGGCATTCCGGGCAGCACAAATGGGGAATGGGAAAGAGCATGGGTCTAGGGGTCAGAAGGATCCAGGTTCAAATCCACGACTAACTGGTGACCTTGAGCGAGTCACTTCAATCTTTCTGTAGTTTATGGGGGCGAGAGTGTAAAGGATGGAGCAATAGAACCTTCCTGGCCTGCCTTCCAGGGCTGCCAGGAAGTGCAAATGGAGTACTTAATGTGAAAGCAGTTGGAAAACCATAAAGTGCTAGCACATACAGGGGTTGTTTTTATTTTAAAAACATTAACTGATCCTGTAACAGAGCTCCTAGTTAAGAACACAATAATGACTGAATCTGAATGGGCTAATGAGCTGTTCATCGCAGAGCTGTCTCTGACCCAACCATCCAGGGTCTGAGGGAGGTGTCGTTGATCTTTAAGATACTTCTATTCTTAGAAGGTTAAAGATAGCCCTTAACCACCACTAGCTTTTCTAAAAATCCCGCTATTGTCTGTCATTGTATCTAAACTCCATCCATCCATCCATCCATCTATCCAATAAACCTATAATGAGTATATCCACAGCCAGATAACCCTGATCAGTGCTGGGGATACAGAAAAAATTAGACCCCTTCTCTGTGCTCAAGAAGTCTACAGCTTAGTGGGAAAGACAGCTGTATAAACCATATACCATTCCTTTTCTTAAACCCATTTTCAGTCAGTTCTGTTTTGGGGGTAACAAGTTCCACAGACCACAGATTATGGGATTTTAAAGCTGAGTGATCTTAGAAATCATCTCTTCTATCACACTCATTTTACTGATGGGGGAAATTATTATTTGTGTGGAAAGCACTATGACTTCCTCTTATTTGCCTCAAAATGACTTCTCCAAGGTTTCAAGTTCAGTTCAGTTCAATGAATCTTTGTTAAGCATCTGTTATATGCCAGGCTCTGTGTAAGAGCTGCAGGTCTGATGATGGAGAAGACATAATTCCAGCTCTCACAGAGGTCACAGTCTAGGGGGAAAAGGACACACAAAGAGATAACAGCTATAGTGCTTGATACTGAAAAATACAGGAGAAGGGCCCCTGATTTGGATATGGGGGAGCTTGGGAGAGGCTTCCCAGCAAGAAGTCCTGTGAGCCATGTCTTGAAGGGGAAAAGCAATGTGCTGGATGAAGATGTACTGGAAGGGCTTGCCAGGCAGAAGGAATAGCGTGAGCAAAGGCATGGAGGTATGAAATAGTACGGCTTGTTGGAGGAACCATAAGAAGCTGGTGGTATTGGGGCTTAAAGAAGGAAGTGGTGAGGAATGAATGTGGAAAGGAGGGCAGGGGCAGAGCGAAAGCACACCTGATGTGGAGCTGGTATGGCCAAAGGCCACCATTACCTTATTGGGTTTCATGAGCATGTCCTTGTTCACTTTCCTTGTCTTCTCTGGGCTAAGAAACTCCACCACATCCCCTTGACCTTCATCTTTACAGACTTAAGAGGCATAATTTATTTGAAGGAAGAGCCTATCCTTCAAGGTGTGGATTTGGACATGCAGGAAAAAGTCAACCCTGATTTGCAGGTGTAAACACTCCCATCATCACTGATTTCAAGCTATCAGTGTGACATCACTGGTTGTGGAATTGGGAAGAGATATACACCTTTGGCTTTTAGGAGCCAGTACCAGCCAGCTCCAGCACACCAGCTTCTGGGCAGCGTGTGTGGCCTGGTGAGATAGCCCACTGCTACTGACTTGCATGATGTAGGGCCCCTTATCACTCCCATTTTATAGAGTAGGAAGCTGAGGATCGGAAGGTAGTTATCCTGCCTGTGGTTACACAGCCATTGCATGGCAGAGAGGGGCTCCAGCCTGGGCAGTCTGACTCTAGAGCCCGAGCTCTAACCATGATATCATTCACTTCCCATTCCCATAGGGTGGCTGTATTGAAGGGCATGAGCTGCATCGGTGGCATTAGCTGTCAAGCTCCAGCCCATTTCCAGATGAATCTCTATCTTTGGCTCTGGTATAATTTAGGCCCCCACCCCCGCCAGGTGTTTCTTATCCCCATCCATGATAGCAGGACATATTCTAACAGTCCCTATGGGATCCAGCTGGTACAGCCGGGATGGCCCAGAAAGGTCAACTGAGGCAGAAGACAGGTCATAGCGGTGGAGTGAGCACAGAAATGCCCAGACCTGGAGTCTGCCCCTAAAAATTGATTTTTCACAGCCCAGATGCTGTATCCAGCCCTGAGAAGCAATACTAACAGCATATTTCTGCTACTAATGACATAGTAATGATAATTTATTAGGAAATCATTAAGCCTAAGTATATGATCTGGAGCCTTGAACCAAACAGGTGGCTCTGTTTGGGGATGGATGGAGGGAAACCAAGAAGACAGAAGGGAAGGGGAGAGCAGGCAGGGCATGCTGAAAGGGGTGAGGTGGAGGGTACCGGAGGGCTGGCATGGTCGTGAGAAAACACATGAGACCCCAGCTTGTGTCTGAGCCCCAGCGCTATGACTTGTAGTGGCAGGGGGTGTGACCATGTCATTGATAATAATAACAGTAATCAAGATTATCAGGTGTAGTTGCAATTATTCAGGTTTCTGGGGTTGTGACTTATAAGTACTATTTAGCTCTCAATCATTCGGGCTGAGAGGGGATTGGAGAGGTGAGAACTGGCATACGGAGGATACTCTGGGCTCTTTTTTTTTTTTTTTTTTTTTTTTT